AAGTAGACAAGCTGCAAACGACACCGGGATGGATTTGCAAAACCCATTACTAGGGAGGGACAGGGGCGGGTGGGTGGAGAGGAGGGGAGGGGGAAGGAGGAAATGATGCACTCAAGGAGGCCTGAATGAGTTGTTCAGTATCTAATGCAAATACAACGGATGATGATCGGGACGGTCTTATTGCTTCGCTCGCGAAATTCTGGGCATCTGTACTTGAAATGCAGCTGCACTTATTGCTTGGTATTTTACGTGGTTATAAATCGTTGCTTTTTGTAAATTGTCCACGTGGAGTCGCCGGTGCTATAAGCCTAGAAATCTAGGTACCTATGCAGAAAAAGCTGTAACTTTGAACATTTACTAAAATAACAGGGAAAAAGAAATTTTAAAATTAAGAATACGCTGGCATATGACTCCGGCTACCCTCCCTCCGTGCGCCCTGCATTTGTATTACCAATTACAGAATTTTAGTTTCACACCTTTATATACGTCATGCCCCCCTTTTTTTTCAATAAATGTTGTGAAAATGAATCAGCTACTTCCCCCTCTGCTTCTCAGAAAGCGATGAATGCTAAGCAACAACAAACTAGTGTCAGACAGTTCTGCAACACACTGTGCATTGTTGGTGAAGTATTGTCAACGATTCTGGAAAACTTGAAAAAAAAAATAGCTTTACTAGAGAAAATGTTGCTGAAAAACTCGAATTTTTTTTGGATGGGGAGGTGCGTAGAGAAAGGTCAAGGAGGGACGAGTGCGAATGGTAATGAGAAAAACGGAAGAGGGAACGGGAAGGAGATGGCAAGACAGAGAAGGGGAAGGGGACGGGGAAGAGTTTTTGAAAAGGCGTAAAACGTTTATCACGTAAGATAAAGTCTATAAAAACTCACAGTGCATATGCACAGAGGTACAAATTAATGGACAATTTCTGGGCCAACACTCTGAGCGAATGAGCACCAAGAATGATGTAGATGGAAGTTAAAAATTGCGGTTAAAGCTGGACGAAGAAAACACAGCTGCTTAAGTTGATCTGAGGAATGCAACAGCAGAACAAACAATTTCTGTTTTTTTTTTTGGAGAGACGACGGGATGGAGAAGGAAGACAGGGGGATTAGGATATCCAGTTTTACAAGACGGGTCCCAAACTGTTTCGCAAAAAAATTCATCAAATAACTCAGATTTGGAAATACCAGTAAAAAAAATGGTCCAGTACAGTTTTAATATCACAAATTCTTGAAATGCTCCGGAAAAAAAATTTTCTCATAATGGAAATAACAACAGAAAAAGGGCCAGCATCCACTACAACCATTGCTGTGGGAACATCAATGACTTGAATGAATTTTGATGAACAGCAAAACGCTTGAAACAACAAAAACAGAAAATTGGAAATATTGCAGAGACCATATGATGATGATGGGAAAGTGATATCAAACGCCCCAAAAGCGTCTTCCTATTTCGGTTTCGTTTCCACATCTGTTATTTTTCTCATAATCACGCAACTTTCCGGTACAGGAATAGGGCTATTTTTTAATTCATGCATATATGAAGCTGCGATTGCTAGTTGCGTGCCAGTTGTGTTGAATGATAGACTCACGATACCTGTTGGGAACCTGAAAATCAAAAAAAAAAAAAATTAAGGCAATGTGAGTGGCAGAAAAAAAAGTGTCAAACAGCACAGGCGCGATTAAAAATTCATATAAGGAACTAATTTTGACTGTTATAAGAGCCAAAATGGTAGGAATTTTCATAAAATACGTAATAAATGGATGTAAACTGGCATATAGACCTGTGTAGCTGACAGATTCGCTTTCGATTCGTTGGATCCCAAATGTTCACAATTGCATCAGAACCTTAAAAGAACGATAATAACATATCCAAACAGAAGCAGTCCAACTTTTGGCTTCACATCCCAAAATGTTGGTTGTTTTTAGACAAGTTCTTTCGATGGGTGGGTGTCGAAAATTCACCGATACGTTGAAAATAAGTACAAAAATGGGTACCTCCGGTAACGAAGGTGTTGTGGACGGGATGAAACGTGATGCAGTTCACAGGATATATCAGTTCTATGCCGGTACTGTCTTTCTCACGATGACATTTGAATGCGTATTTGCCCTTCTGCACCTCTGGCGACATATCACAGTACTCCACCGCTACACGTCCCTCAATTGATGAAACAACAAAAGCTTCACCATTTGGAAAGAACTTCACGGCTCGAGTTTGAAACTGAAATGCAGGGAATTTCAGAAATCTTGAAAAACGTCTTCCAAAGATACCAGCACTAGAAATAGTGACCGAACGCTGGTTATTGATAGGAATCGTGGCAAACGCAAAGATTAGGGATATCGAACCTCAAAGGCAATTTTTGTTTCAAGATCTGTGAATCTGATGAAAAAGCCTTTTAAACTAGCCTCACGTAACCCCTCCTCACCCCCGCCCAAAAGAAAAAAAACGGTGTTAATACGAAACAACCAAAGGCGGAACAGCAATCAAAAAAAGTGCTCACCACTGGAAAATGAACATTGCTGACAATTAAAACTGCTGATGTTAGTTACCGATAATTTAAAAGTGCGTATAATTTACATAT